TTTGGTTGGAAGGGGAATCGGTCCCATCTTCACAGGTCTTTACTGAACTCTGTGAAGATGCGCCACTCCTCCAGCTGCAATCCTATGAAGTGGCAATCAGCAGACTTCTCAGCAGGGAGAGTCCAAATTCCTCTTCCTCAGGCACTGAGGAGCAACAACAGGAAAACCAATGCCAGCATGACAGAAAGATACTTGGAATTCCACCAGTAGCTTCACAAGCTGCACTCGTCTCAAGAAGCTGGGCGAATATCCTCCCTGAATCTTTGATTCAGCATGCAGCATCATGATTCTTCGGTTGTGTAATAGTTTGCAATTTCTGATTATTTTCTCTACAATGTAGAACCAAAGTTACATGTTTCCAAGGCAGTCTGAAAAGCTTGTGGATTTCTCTTCAGAAAAGCTCAGTGAATGGATAGGATAATCAAGGAGAAAGCAAGTCCTGAAGTTTCATGATCCAAATTTTACATGATCCAAAAGTTTCATGATCCAAAAAACCTTCATCCTCATGCAAATGCAGATGGGCAGCCAGTGCAGGACTTTTAGATGGGATGTTCCAGACGGAATTGCAGTGGCTGCTGACAAGCAGCATTCTGCCATGGCTGCAGCTTTCAAGCTTGTTTCAGGGGTAGTTCTCCAAAGAGCACATTGCAGTAATCCAGCATTGAATTGACTAATGCCTGCCTGCACCAGCAGAGCCAAACTGTTACTTCCATGAATACTCATAGAAGGAATGCAAGACAAAGAGGTCACAAAGGCATTTTGAGTTGCCAAAGTAACTCAAATCTCAAGTCCAGCTTGGAGTTCAGATACTGCTCCTTCAGGGAGAATGTAACTCCACCTACCAAGGTCATTGAGTCCCTCTCCCAGTCATGTGATCCACTTGTAAGAGGATATAGATCTTGTTCTTGTTATTAAGTGCCGTCAAGTCATCTCCAACTTAGGTAACCCTAGGAATGGAAGCCCAACAAAAATTTGCGTCTTTCACCACCCTGCTCAGCTATTCTAAATTTAAGGCTCTGGCTTTGTCTATGGAAGCAACCTATCTCAGAGTCTTCCATGCCTTCCTGTCCCTCAACTTTCCCTAGAATCATGGACTTATCCAGGGAGCCTTGCCTTCTCATTGTGTGTAGGACATCAGGCAGTCTCACTTTCTCCATGGTTACTTTCAAGGAACGTCCTGGCATGAGTTGCTCCAGGACACACTAGTTAATTATCCTTTTGGTCAGAATAACCACAGTGGTCTCCTTCTGCACCACGGTTTGCACACAGTATCCATTTTCCGTGGATCCAAATACAGTCTATGGATCCTCATCCAGTGCATTACTTAGTCCAGGCATTGGTCAAGCACTGTCATGCCACGGACACGCAGAGATTACAAGGACATAGAGCCACATCACATGAGCATGCTGAGGATCCTTTCTCCATTACCCATCCTGACATTTGCAAAATGTCAGCTACTCACTAAAAAGAATGATAGTGAACAAGAACATGTGTCATGGGCATGAACAGCTGAGGGGTCACAGGGTGACACACTGATCTCTCTACGTACTCTCTAAAGCCAGCTGTGCAGACTAGAGCACAACCACTGAAATGTGGGATCCACAGGCTCCCTAAGCTGATGGCAGCCCCACAGGATACCAGGAATGAATGTATCCAAGTGGAATGATAGAGCAGGTAGAAAGAACTGGGTCAAGCCCACTCATTTTTTTCTACAAGGGTTGCCAATCTGGGCACCAAGACAAGGGTCAGGGATAAGGTTAAGCTCATGCATCAGGAGACCAAAACTAGACCAGCAACCTCTAGAACATGCGCATCCTTGCAGCTGCCTGCAAATGACATGACAAGACCTTCTCATGAAACAGAGCCTAAAAGGAGGTGCCAGCAACTAGATATTGGTAATCTACAACAGGTTTCTTTAAGAAATGTAGTACCCCTGGAGTAGATTCCAGTGCTTTGAGTAAGGATGGGGTTACCATACCTGAAGTTGCACCCCCATGTTCTGCTGGTATTAGGCATCATAGGAAATCGTGAGGAGGACCATGGTCAGAGACATCACTGAAAGCACTTTGCCTAATGATCTGGTGGAAATCCATGGAATGGATGGAGCTGGCAGATGTGCCAGACATCATAACTGCACACCAAGCTGACTACATCAACAGATAAACCAAAAGAATGCTGAAAGAAATTCCAGGAAACAGGACATTCTCTTTCTGATGGAACCAGAGGAAAGTTCAAATGCTGCCAGGACATTTTTGAATACATGCCCATGTAGAATCTAGACAGGTAAGTTAAGTGGGCTCAAATTCACCTTCACACTGCCATGCAATAAGCAAGAGTATGCCCTGTAACATTTGTTTGGTCAACTGAGCCTAGAACCTTTTGCTATTGGCTGTGATACCACAACAGGGAAGGGGAATACCTGCCAGGGCTGCAGCCTTGGCCCATACAGTCTGTCTCCTTTTCCAGCCATCAATATCCTTTTCGATTGGAATGAAGATACAGCATTTAATGCATGGGCTATCATTTGGACAATATTGTATTCGTGGAAGCCATCTTGAGAAAAGACTCTTTCCAGCTCCTTCTGAGGAAGCATCTCCAGTTTCTCCTTCTCTGAATACCTTGACCATCTTTTCATGGAAAAAGCATGCTCTGAATAAAAACAATGAAAAGCATTCATCCAAAACCAATCCGTATTATGAGAGAATTGATAGTAATGGTTGAGTCTTTTCTTTTGGGTTCTCTTCATGATGAAGGACAAAGAACCATGGAAAAAAAAGGAATCATGATCACACATAAAATACAGGTTAATGTCTTGCACAGTGGTTGTGATCCAGACTTTTCCTCCAATTTGTTCCCTCCCAAGTGTCTTTTGCATCATGAGAACTGGAAAAAGGCCATACGGAGGGCCTGTGTAGGAAACAGCTACATTAACTTGTCCCCACTCAACAGATATCTCATTCTGTGTCATTCTGAATATTTCTTTTTGTGGAAGCCTTTTTGTGAAGGCAGTGCAGATTCCTCGTCTGATCATCAATGGGATCATTGACCTAACAAACGTTTCTCCATTGGCAGTGTCTGGGGCAAAGAGACCAATCCACATCCAACCAAAACTTGCAACCAGATGGACAATTCCCAAGTATTGGTTTTCTTCCTTTGGGGTCATTCGGTAGATGAATGGAAACTGAGTCTGATCCTCCAGAACAGGGTTAACCAAGCCATAACTGATCTAATGAAGAGAGGAAGAACCTGGTAGTTTGCATTTTTTTATCTTTCGGATGAACATCAGGGTCGTATGAACATGAAATCTCAAAGCAAAAGCCCATCCCAAGGGAAGTGGAAGTTGAGGAAAAGGGAGGGACAAAACATTTCAAGGATCATTGCTACAGTAGCAATTCAATATTTCTTGGGGAAAGTGGGCCCCTTTCTGCAAAGAGCCAAGACCTCTCCCAACCCCAACCCAGCCTAATAAGTGCCCAGACATGTTCAGGAAAGTCAAAAAGAGATGAGCTTCCCAAGGTGGCTCTATTTCTTTCCACTTTGGAGTGGCTACAGATTTTCTCCTTTCCATCTTCTCCAGACTGATGGAAATAATCCTTATTGGACAGTTCTCTTGCTTCCAACAAAGCACATCTCTGTGAGAGATATAGCTGGATTTGTCCATGTCCCCTTGAAAGATTGATCCCTGCTAGATCAGTGCAAGTGCTGTGCTATCAGTGTCCTCAATGTGGGTAGAGCTGGCCTCTCTTCCTCTCCCAGGGCCTACCTGAGGAACCTTGTAGATACCTGACATGACTGAAATAAGAGTGGAGATGTCCGATTCAGTTCCTTCAAGAATGGCCAGCAGGTTCTTCTTCCCACAGGCAAAGTTTGGAAGGTGGCGTTCCCCAGCAGCAGGCAGGCCTAGCATGGCATAGGAAGTCACTCTGGAATTGAAGCAGCTCTCATAGATCTCACGGATGGAAAACAGCAATGACAACATATGCCAGTACGCCAGAAATATAAACCTGCAATGTAAGAATTATAGAATCTGGACTCATTCTATGAAGAAGATTCAGAGGAGATTCATGATGTGTAAGGAGAAGGATTCCTTCACACATTTATATTTCCTTCCTTCCTTCCTTCCTTCCTTCCTTCCTTCCTTCCTTCCTTCCTTCCTTTCTTTTTCCTTCCTTCCTTCCTTCCTTCCTTCCTTCCTTCCTTCCTTCCTTC